TATTATATTATAATCTCTAGTAAAATACTCGAGTATTATATTTTTATATAAAATATTGAAAAACCTATATTTAAAACATTTGAATGTAAATGAATCTATAACTTCTTTGTTCTTTAAAAATTAACAATCTACATAATGTACCAATTATGATATTAAAAATATAATAATAATCTGCATGACCAATCTTATTAATGTTTTTAAAACAGAAATCTATTTCATTCCAAAATCTTCATATATTAATTTAATGTTTCTAATATATTATATGCTATATGTGTCTAATGCATTTAAATGTCATTGTTCGAATATATTACTAAATTATTATGCATTTTTGGAAACATTAAATGATTTGAAAGACCTGACATGTCATGTAATTGAGAGATAAAGAAATTATATAATAAATATTTTAATATAACTTAATGTATCTATTTTATTTAATATTGAAAATCATTCTGGTTTATAAATTTAAAAAATTAAAAACTAACAGAATATCAGAGAGAATGAAAAAGTTCACAACCTTCGAGTTCATTGACCTGACCATTTCGATATACTCTCCGGGCTGTTTTCGTGAAAAAGTTATCTATGACGATATATATTCACCTACGTGCGCTTAACGCGAAAGTTGACAAACAATTCTTAATAAACTAATGCAAAATAAGCGGAATCTTCAGTCTAAAAACGAAAATTCGTGCTTAATCTCACGCTTAAGGCGATTCGTAAGAAACCAACCTAACTACGTATCATATAACGTGTCTAAAGTTTATAACCTTCGATATAATATGAATCCATGATATATACCTTCGCCTAAATATCAAGTAAATTGTACAGAATGGCACAAAAATAATAAAAATAATGTTCGCGCATAAACTGCTCCTCGGGAAAACTAGAAATAACTACTACGTATAACCTAACATTTAAATCTACATTTAGTATCTTCAATATAATTTAATACGAATTTATAAGATACGTGTATTACAAAGTTATATTTATTTAATATCTTTAACCTAACAATGTATCGTTCAATATCGTCAAAATAAATCTATGATATAATATCATTTATCTGAATCTCGAACGACGCAAAAATAATAAAAATAATGCTCGTATGCATAAATTCTCGCTTCGAAAAATTATAAATGGAGCAAACAAATCGAATATACAATATCGGGGAATTTATCAGCGCCCAGGAGATTTCATTCGGCGACGCATTGTTTGTCTACAATGCAGTAATGCCTTTAAGTAATAATACGCGTAACGCCGCGTAAATAAAGGGCTTTATTAATTTCAGCGAATTATAGGCGCACGTGCGTACACGGTCCCGGTTCGAACGAGTCACAAAAGCAAAAGGGTCGAAACTTTCGTCTGGACGATGACTGGGGAGCCAACCGAGAGCTTTTCATTGTTTATTCGCAATAATTAACTAAAATGAATTCAATTAATTTCCGCGTTTCCGTCCTGTCGTAAATCAACACGCACGCGTGTTCCGCCATCAGTTTTTCCATCGAGAACGCATACATTCCAATCTCACGTAATTGAAAACCACAGAAATATATAGACAGGTACATTTTTGTTAATTTTGTTGCCAAATTTTTCTTGCCCAGATTGATAATCAAAGAGAAACTCGATATGAAATATTAAGAAATGAAAAGGACTTTGAATTTTAGAAAAACAACACGATAAGAATGTTTCTGTTGATTTCAGGAGTTTAATATTACTTTATGCTTAAACAAAAGGATTTTATATATAATTGTTAATAACTTAATATTATGGGGAATAATATGTATTATTAGAAGTTTATAGTTCAGCTCCAAAACCAAACTCTGTGAGTTTGATTTTCAATTTTAAACTTAATAAAAAATTTGATTTGTCACGTTCTTCGCCTCTAATTATCAATCACTTTTCTATAAAAAGTAGAAATGTGACTTGTATTTTTTAACAATAGCCTTCGATTGCTATTTATAAAAGGAGAATAAAAAAAAAAAACATACTGACGATAATAAATCTCGTGGAGATGGAACGTACGCAGGGCACTCGTGCGTAATTTTTTGACACTTTTCAGCCGTCGATAAATACTTCATCGAAGGGCATTTTATTTTCGTCCGCCGCCACGCCACAACGCCACTACGATCACGCGAAACGATAGCCGAGAGTCTTTGCAAAAAGTGAACAAAAAAAAATAATGTATGCGAGTCTGACGGTGGCGGCAAAGTCTCGAATTACTCGTCAACATCGGCCGGAATATTTCTGGTCTTGCGTTTTTTGCGCCTTATGCTCCGATATCTCGACCACCGTGCGAGGAGAGCATAAACAACGAGTTCAGACCAGTGGTGCAACCGTGCAGCATGCCGCACAAGAAAAAAAAAACCACCAGGTGCAGTGGTTCACCAAAGTACATATTTGAACAAATACTCGATATTTCATATCATATTCTGATATTTCATGCATATTCTGCGCACATTTTGAAATTTTATTAACTCTGCAATGTGAGACACGTCGATTGATTGTATTAGTCAAACTTGAAAATATCTTGAAAATGCGTGTATTTGCCGTGTTCGTATACAGATATAGGAGTATGTAGGAGAATTTGTATCTTGTATACTGTCGTAACGTAGCCTATCGAAGAGACCGCCTCCGTGATAGAGTAAGAGTTTCGAAATAATAGATTCGCGGCACGCACCGCGTAGGGGCGTGTAATTTCCCGTGATTTACCATATTATGCAATTACGTCAGGTAAAAATGCCTCGTAAGACACCGTATCTTCTGAGAATCAATTCGGAACGAACCGTTAACGTTTAACACTCATATGGTCCTCTCTACAATCTTTCGGAACTCCAATGTTAAATTTTGAATTAAATCATTTCTTTTCTTAATCTCTTTTAGAAGCCGAAAATTTACGATACTTTTTAAAATGCTATTTGAATTCATTACATAATATAAATTCAAGACGTAATTCGTATCAACAATTCACTATTTAAGGGTCAAAAATTCTACGGTAGCGTCATATAGTAACACTATATTTGAAGATCTCTCGAACTAACCGATAAATATTTAATTGCTCTAAAAACTATTTCTAATTTTAACGTATTTTGTCCTTTTTATAAAACAAAAAATCACACGAAACATATCTTTGCAAAATAAAAATTATATGGTAGCATTATGTAATAACATTACACTTGAAGATCTCTGGAACTACACGACAAATTTATTTGCTCCAGAAACTATTTATAATTTTAGCGTACTCCTAATTCTTAACACTACTCCAAATTTATGTCTTTCTTATAAAAAAAAATCATAAGAAATGTATTTTTGCAATGCAAAATAAAAATTCTACGGTAGCGTTATGTAGTAATATTATATTTGAAGATTTTTCAAATTAAACGACAAATTTATTTGCTCCAGAAATTATTTCTAATTTTAGCATGCTTCTAATTCCTAAAACTACTTCTAATTTTAACGTATATTTAGCGTATTATGCCTTTCTTACAAAAAAAATAATCACACGAAATATATCTTTGCTAGGTAAAATAAAAATTATTTTGTATAATTCGACTTCGGTTAATGCAAACAAGTAGGATACAATAAATCTATAAACTACGAATCTGCTTCCACGAAATAAAAAGCGTCATTTGTACATAGGGATTTGTACATTGTAGCATTCAAGGTCTAATCGGAGCAAGTCGTAACCTGCTTAGCCATTAAACGCGCCACGATAGACCGAGTAAACAGATTCGTGCAATTGGCAATGAAGCGTAAACAACCGCTGTCCGAATCGCGTCGCGCGGCGACTGTTTAGGACACTCGGATGTGCATAAAGCCAAAGGTACGTTTAAGAACGCGACACATATTATCGACGTGTACGACATACATAAATATATATCCAGGATGGAAATATGCTATAAGTGGAATCATTTCGGAGAAACAGAAACGACGGACGCAAGAGCGATTCACGGAGGCGCAGCGTGTTCCTTTTCAAAACTCGTTGGAACGCGCGTTCGACGGACTTTGCAGACGAAATGTCGTCTCGGGACGAAAGTTGTCGGTCGACGACGAGATACAGAGGGATAGGCGATCGAACGATCGACGAAGGAGTGACAGAAGGAAGAAAGAAGGCTACGAGAGTAAGTATGTGCCCTCACCTCGGTAGCGGCGTTGCATCCCGCGAGAATGACGGCCGTACTGATCAGAATCCAGTATATCCTCGGTTGCATCTTGTCCTTTGTAATTGCCGCTGGGCCCATTCAAGAGCCCCCTGACCGATCACGGCGTCGACTCTGCGAAACCAAACGAAAAGAAATACGCGTACGTTCCAGCCAGAAAGAAACCACCAAAAAATCCACCGGAGCAACAACGCGACACACACCACACTGATCGATGAACCGCGAGACACTGAGGGCGCGTCGATCGGACTTTCGTCGCCGAGCTGCCGCCATTTTGAAGGAAGCATGGGCGCCCCACAGCGGCCGACACCGGAAATCTGCCTTTCTATGAGATTACGACAGTGCTACGACATTGCGCGAACTATTTGAATTTTGCACGTTAAAACACGCTTTTAATAAATATTTTAAGAGAAAAAAAATGAAACAGTGTCAGATAAGATAAGTCGATTAGCATTAAGATGTTGAATTGTGCAATAAGTATGTTGGTATAGATCTGATGTTTGAATGACAAATATATAATTTTGTTCTGTATGGAATTCCGTGGAAGACTGAAAAGTACAACGGATGTGAATCGGTCCATTACTAATTTTTATAAAATAATATTTTGTATTTATTATTATAAAAATTCATTACATTTTTTCAATTATCCATTACTTCGAAATCTAACTATTAATATAATACTTCATACTTTTATAATTATTATAATATTTATTATATTATTACATTATATTTTATATCATATATAATAATATTATATATTATATATTACATATAATAAATAATATAGTAACATTATAATATTATAATATAATACTTTATTTTAATTATTATATTATAATTATACTATTATACTATATTTATGTTACTTGTCTAACGTATTACTTGTCTTACGTACATTGTGTTTAACGTAACATTTTTATAATTGGACAAACTTAAATCTAATACGTATTATAAAAATTAATGATAAAGTGAAATTAATGAAGATGATTGTTAATTTTCTTGTTTTTCATTTTTAGCTCGGTAGTGTAAAGTGTAGAAAGTGATAATGAAATCGAAAGAATAATGGACGGGAAAATTGCACAATGACGACACCATAGTGGTAAGTTTCATCTTTAAATAAATATTTGTCTTGCGAAAAAGCGATAAATTTTAAAATAAAGATTGAAAGAGTAATCACTATGTTTATCGTTCGACCATTTTTTAATCACAAGATATAAAAAGTTTAGCTTACATTAATTTTCTTTTTTCTCAAATATGATATTTTGTACTTTAACAAATATCATTAGCGACTAATTACAATGTCTCGCGTTTTTTTCAAAAAAATATCTATCAATATAAAACTATTTCTTATCGCTCGCGGACAAATCTTTCTCAAGACCTTTTAAAAATCGAAGATTTTCGTTGATAGTGCGATTATATTCTTCAATTTTATTACGCATTGTTGTCACTTCTTCTTGCATGCATTTCACTTCCTCTTGCATTTTTTGTTTCAACAGCTCTAGCAATTTTTTATCCTGAGAAGCATACAGACAAATGTTTCGTTATTGTAACTCTTTATCTTTATAATCGCTTTGTACATGCATTGAAAATATTACCTGTTTATAATAGTACTCAGCTTCGTATGCAATATCGTTATTCGAAGTTGTATTTTTGTTAGAGTCACTGTATCTTATTAAATGCCTGGAACTGTTAGAACTGTCATGTTTGAAAATGTTGATCTAACCACTAAGTGCAATGGAACTAGTTTAGTAATTTTTAAATATCATGCTTACCAGCTTTTCTCGGACAACAATTTTCGTAAAATATATCGAAACATGGTTTTCGATAGTTTTTAATGTCATTAATTTAAAAAAAAAAATTCTTCTGTAGAATTAAACGGAACAGAAATTTTGCGACTTTTTGTCACAAATAGTGAAACATTTGAATATAAACAGTATCGAAAAATCGAGATAATTGATGTGTACTGATAACAACTTTATCTCAGGATGTATAAATAAGTTTTACTATTGCATAAATACGAGAAAATAGTTAGTTTGTCGCTTTTATTCAATTTATATATATATTACTTTATATATTGTATATATTTTGCAGTTTAAAAAAAAACACAGACATAAATGTCTACTATAATTACTAGTAATAATATTATAACAGTTTCATCATTAGAAAGAGTGACATCACGCTTAGAAAGTAAGTATATATATTGTATAGAATGAATTAGTTTATTTCTCATCCATTTCTGTAATTCTTTGTTTGTGGCGGTTTATGGCCTCTTGATGGCGTTTAATTTGTTCTTCATGAAAAGAGATTTCGTCATGAAGGTCCTCTTTAAGTTTCTGAAGTTGTTCCTTTTGCTAAAAGTAAATATTGATATTTGTAAATAAATTTCTTCAAATAATTATATGATATAGGAAAGATGATAACAAACTATAATGTATAAGAACATAATATGGTTAAATCCTTAAGAAATGTTACAAACACCATAAGAATTCAATTAGTGTCAAGAAATTGAAGCAACTAACCAGGTTATAAAAATATTGATCTTCATGAGCTGCTTCCATTTTTCCAAAAGATCCACCAGCTTCACGGATAGTTCCACCACCGCCACCTCCTTTCCCAGCTCCAGATCCACGTTCACCAGCCATTCTTATTTGGCTACAATGATCAAATGATTGAATCTTAATTAACTCTCTAATGATTAATAGTGCCAAAAACAAAACTGTGACGCAGTAGCAAAAGCTAAAAATACATAGTATCCATTTATATCACAGATACAATTGGACAGTTGAATACAAAACATCATTGTAGAACTTACAGCCAGAAATACTGTAATTACAAGTAAATATAACATAATGGAGACAATATTAAAAGAAATATATTATGAAAGTATTTCAATAAGAACACAAACTATTGCAAGCTATTACATAAGTTAAGTACATACACCAAAAAGTCAATAATTCTCTATAAACTTGTTATAATTCACTAAAGGAATAAGTCTTAATTAATTTAACAAGTGGTTTGTTTTTTAGTTAATATTTTGTGGACAAATGAAAAAATTAGAATAAAATCTCGCCTTTAACTATGCATGTGCTGTGCAAAAGCCGGGGTCGATTTAAGCTATGTAAAGGAATTCTATGTAGTTAACGTTAATCATCTCCATGGAAAGCATTCTTTTGTACCTTAGCGAAGCCATATTTCGAGAAAACGTAGTAATAACTCGTTGCATTATTCTCAGAGTAGGAATTTCAAAGCGTAGCAAGTGTTCAAGATTCTATTGAAAACCACACACTACTACGAGATGGAGAACATCACACTATGATCATGTTGCTCCAGTAAGATATCCGCGAGATGGCTGTCCTGTCATTTGGCGGCAATATTAATTCAATTTTTTTTATAGAGTTAAAGTATTTTCGGCTTTTACCACAGTTTAAGTGTAAAAATTTGAATTGTCAATGCATATAATTGATGAGAGATAATTAAAACTGTAACATTACAAGTGTTTTACAATATAGCCATATAATCAAAGGTTTTGGCCTTTTTACATTGAAAGAAAAAAATTGTTCATTTTTACAATTGTTTTTATAATTAAAATCCACTTCATATGTGAGGAGAAAGACATTTAAATAAATTCTAATTAATTAAATTTTGTTCATATCTGTTGAAACTCAGAAGCTGCCAAAATTTTTTATTTAAAAAATAAGTATAAAAAAATATATTGTTTTTATCAAACATAAAAATGTTAATTTATTAATATCTTCTTCTACCTTGATAATCTATACAAAATTTTATTTTTAAGATTTCCTTATATGAATTAATATTATCAGCAAGAGTTTTATTATTATATTATTAGCAAATCTTACAAGTTTCTAGAATTAATAAATTTTTTTGGCAGTAACAACTATAATAATAAAACAAATGAAGTCTCACAAGAAGTCAATTCTATAAATTTTAAAATGATACTGTTTTACAATTCACTACAATTCACCAATTCACTAATATTATAATATTGATTGATAAATTGTTCAAACAGTCCAGTTTTTAATACATATACTATAATATATTATTAATTATAGTACTATACTACCTATAATATTCGGCGGCTTGGTTTTGAATCAACTGTCTCTTAATTTCCGAAGTTTTCAATTCGTTAATCGCTGTCTGTTTCTGTAACTCTGCTCGTTTCAATTCAATATTCAACATCCTCAGCTTTAACTCATGCTCCCTCTGAGCCAATTCGAACATCCATGTTGCTTTCTGAACAGGTTCAACTTGCTCATCATCAATTCTATCGTTCCTTTCCTTTACGTTCGATAAGGATACACCATCTTGTGTTGAGAAACAAACGAAATTACATAAAATTAGTACCACTGATTCTACACGGTCGTATTTTGCTCTCGCACTTTGTCTTACATAAAATTTCCTCTCTAATGTTTTTTTTTTATTTCATTAAAATTTGATTTTATTGTGTATTTTATATTTTTCTTCGACTCGAAATAAAATTAAGTCTAAATTTAATTTTGTCTTAAATTATCATGATTCTTAATGGCGCCTAATAATATCAGTTAAGAAGTAAAATATTTATAATTATATTATAGATTATATTATATTATATTATATTCATCATATTATATAGAGAAATAAGAAAAAAGAATAATAAAACTTTATTTCTCTTTAATATTTCGAAATGATAAATAAGACACTTCAGCTAATTGTATAATAAGTGCAACATTGTTCTCCTGAACTCCGTCCAAGAAAAAGTTCAATTTCGATTTCGAATCAATTCTCAGTATTTCAAAATTTCTGAAGCAAATTTACAAATACCATTGTGAGTTATGGGATTTATCCTTTGCTCAGCTAGATCCACAAGCTCGCTTTCAGAGATTCGCGATCGTTTCCTCTGTGAAACGTCCGATTTTTTCTTAAAAACTTCGTGTTGGTTGTTCTCATCCTCCGTGTTGTACTCGTCGCTATCCGCCTCCACTTTAATTTCGTTCACCGTGGTTATTTCCGCTGTGGAGGCCGTCAGCTTGTTCAGGAACGCTTGCAAGCTGGAATTCTCGGGACTTTCTCGACCATTTTCGTCGGAACGATCATCGTCCCCGTCGTTTTTTCTCGCCTTTTCCATTAGTTTCCATACTTCGATGGACAGGTTCGATGGGCGACATTTGGCTGCCTCTTCTGGACCTAGAGTCTTCACCTAATTTTTATCGTTATTCGTTTCGCAGAAAGATGGAAAAAGTAGATTATTCAAAGTAGATATTTTAATTTTAATGGAAAAATTTATCTTATTGCAGGTTAATACATTTTTAAATAGAAAATTATGTATTTTTTACTAAGCACTTTAATATTACTTTATATTTGGTATAAAATTAGATTAAAAAAATACTCGTGTCTATATTTGCACGAGCACAAACGAAATGAAAAAAAATTGAAGTTTCGTTGTTTGGATCAAATAATCCAATCTGAATTTTAAATAATCTTTTTAGTAATTTGAATATATTTCCTGGCGAGGAAAATAAATGAATGCTATTCTATAGTATTTTTAATTTTATAGTCATTATCGGTAGACTCCAAATCATTTTTACGCAAATTAAAATACAACGTTACACAGAGATTTCAAAGATCATAAATCTTTCAACTTTGTATGGATACATAAAATCCACAAATCTACTTATGATATTTAATAGTGGAAACAAACTTCTGCTTGGGAAGTTTTATAAAAATATAAAATTCTAAATATAATAAAAATATAAGTATTTGATGCAATGAAAATGTAAAATTATAAAATTGTCGTCTAATTGTATTCGTACAAATTTGCAGTCTATTTATGACTGAACAGAAATACCGGTTACCGGTGACAGTCAGCTTAACGGATTAAATCGATAAAATGAATGAAATTCGACAATCGATTAACCTTCTCAGCAAAGGTGTACATTTCCATCCTGGCCTGTCCCTTCATTCTCCTCCACTGTTCTCTTATTCTAGTGATATCTCTGTCCGTGGAGAATCTCCCACGAAAATCCGTGTAGATCTGTTGCCAAGCGAAGGTTTTCATGGCGGAAGCTGCCGCGTCGATCTTTTTGTTCTCGATCGCATTAACGTGCTCTTTGATCAACGAGAATAAAGCGTTCTTCTCTTCTGGCAACCAATTTTGCGTTCTTTCTCGTTTTTTCAACAACACAGTGGTCGAATTAGAACACATCCTCGTTCAAATTTTAATCTTCTAATTACTTGTCGATATTTTTAATGGATACCAGATCGCTGGTGTAATAGACGATTAAATTAATTTCAACTTAATTTCAACGATAGACAGAGACGCACGCCTGTTAACTGCTCGCGTCGCGATTAGGTGATGTTTCGCTCGTTTACTTGTTTAAGCGCCGGTTTAACACAGTCAGCTGTTGAACCAACGTCGATGCGAATGTGTACAGTGTGACTGGAAAATTCGCGACGCGCCAAGTCACTTTTATTTCTTCTTTTCTTTAAGATTCTTTTCCGATGATTAAATTCTATTAGCGAGTCTTTTTGGTCTTTTTGGAATTTTTTAAATCGAATTTTTATTGATTTTTGGACCAATCTGGGATTGAAGAGTCAGATAGATTTTAGGTTAGATAAGTTTTAACCTAGTGAAGATTAGGTTATTTCTTTGGAGAGAAATAAATTTAATAAGATTTCCATATATTATTATGATAAGATTTTTAATTATTTATAAAGTGTTAATTTCAATACTTTACCTTTTTACTTATTTATTTATATATTTTTAATTTCGTTCCAGTCATTTTTAATTTCAGTATTTGGAATATATTTATGGCCGGGATTATAGTTTTGATAATTAGTAAGTGTTTAATTTTAGATATCTATGTTCTGTTTTTTTATTTGTTTAGAATAACATGCTTATTTTAATGTTCATCAGTAAAATTAAAGTTTGTAAAACTAATTTGACACTAATACAATGATAAAAAATCTACTTCCTTCATAGATAAATCCTATTTATTCCAGAGGGAATTCAGAATTTGCTGATCTAGAACAAAATAATCGGGATGACGTCGTAATCAATCAAAATGAGCTAATAAATATTTCGTTTTAAATAAAAGTTGCCTAACAGATCAAGTTTTATCACATTACAGACTTTTACATAAATGCTAAACATTCTCTAAATAAAAGTCTCATAACATTGTAGATTTTAACCCTTTGTGGACAGACAAGTTATAATTTACATCTAGATATAGATTCCTCCAATTATTCCTGAATTTAAAAAATTGAAAATATTCCTAAGATATTTATTAGAATTCTTATGATATTTAAACATTTTTACCAAGTTAAAGAAAAAATAATAACATAAACGAGCATTGCGTCCATCCAATTTAAATCGTAATATGCAAATGTTCTGGTTTATGTTGCACATCTATTTTTCTATTGTTTCGAAAACAATACTTCACGTTTAGATATTATTTACTTGTGGGAAATGTAAACTGACTGGTGTTAACCAAAATCATGTACGAAACATTCAGAGAAATCGGAATAGCGAGAGAGAATTAAATCGAAGTTCAACTAGCCAACTAGAAGCTAGCAGAGAAACGGTACTTTCTAGCAATCAACAGCAAAACGAGCGCTCCTTCTTTTGCTAACGCTGAGGAGACCGAATTTCTTCGGATAATCGGTATCTCATTATCAGCGTTCTCGAGACCTTAGTGTTCTTGCAACTCACGGCACTTCCACAAAATCTTTCCTAGTAGAAGAAGAAGAACTTACAGCACCTTTATTGTTCCTTCTTCTTGTAAAAGAAGATGGCCAAGAACACTTCCACAAAACTTCTTCTCCGAAAGGGATATTTTTCTCCTCGTTTCTCGCAATTCCGTTTTTTTTTTTCTCCCGTTCTCTGCTCCGATTTTCATACATGGAAATAACCGCGAAACTCTTCCGGTTAAGCCCGACGAAGTAGAGCAGCCATGGTTTTTTCGCGTTCGTCGACCACACGTTCTGACCATATATATTTGTATATATATTATATGTGCATAATAAAGGTCACGAATAATCCTGGCGCAGTTAGCGCCCAATGATGTTGTTGGAGTTACAAACAATCATCATAATAAAGACAGAAAAAGTTGACGAGTGAATTTTAGATTATAAATTTTAAATTATTAATTTGTAATATCCAAATCAAGCATCAAGCACCCAAAAGAAACTACAATATTCCAAAATATTACAAAATTTGAAATAGAGTCAGTAGAGTGCATAAATACATACTCCTTGCGGTTATTTTCAAAAGAAGTAAAAGTATCCTTAAAAAATAAAATATTCTTATAACCCCTGCATCTCTCCCCCCAAAGAATCCTCAAGTCTCTCAAAATTCCTGAACGCAAAATTTCCAAAGTGATAGAAAAAATAACAACAAGCAGAATAAACAAACAAGCGTTGTCGCTTTAGCGCTATAACGAATTAGAATATTAATTATATGTTTTGAACTCGCGTCGCGATTGAACGTTTGGTTAAATCGGAACTAAGGCACGACTAAACGTCGGCCATTTTGGCAAGGTACTAGCTAGGCGCTCGATATTAACAAATCCTCGATTCCCAGCCGGGGTGAAAGCGGCGAGCGAAAACCAGCGACGGATAGGGGAGAAAGGGCAAGGGAAACGGTGGGACGATAGAGGGTGAAAGGGAGAGGCATTCGACGTTCCGCGCAACGCAAACATTGTTTCGTTTCATTTCGCGATCCGTCGCGGAATCATATTGCGCCGATTCCAATATTTCCATCGTTTTATTGCGATTGCGGTGGTTCTGCCGTCGATTTCAGGACTCCTCTCCGTCACCGTTTCGTTTTTACTCCCACGAGTTTTTCCATCGCACGTCCGTTGATTCCATCGATCCTCACAATTTATGGTGTTTTCATTGGACTTCTTTTTTGCTGCTTCTTCTTATTTTTCTTTTTTTTTTTTTCTTTTTTTCTTTTCAAGAAAAGAATGAAAGAACGGGCGAGAAAGGTTTGAAGAGGATAAGGTTTGTAACTCTGAATGATTCACGGAGCGATTCTCGATTGTTTGTTCAGCTTCCTTTTTTAAAGGAAAATACAAGAGGAACGAGTGGAAAGAAATTTGAACGTTGATTCGTGGTTTTGGATAAATAAATGCAAGCGGTTATTTTTTTAAAACAAAGAGTGGGATGGAAGTTTGAAAAGATTGATCCGTGATTATTGATTCTGAAAGTCCAGAGTGTTATCTCCGTTTTTCGGTTTTTCCAAGAGAAGGATAAGAGAAAGAGTAGGAGAAGTTTGATTCTTGAAAGCTAGAGTGTTTCTTCATTTTTTTTTTTCTTTTTGAAGGGAAATATAAGAGTAAGAGATTCGAACGTAGATAGATTCGCGGAATCTAGGATTACCTTTGTTTTTTTTTTTTTTCTTTCAAGAAGAAAAGCTGAAAGAAGTTTGAGAAGATCGATTCGAAGAATCTGAAATGTTACTTTTAGCTTTTTAGCGAAAAATGTGAGAGAACGAACAATTATATAATATATCTATATTAAATTATTAATACAAATTAATATTATTGATATTTATTAAATAATTAAAAAATTACATTACCACAATATAATAAATATATCTGAAGTGGGAACGCATTACTTACAACTTAAACTTTTGGCTAAAATTTCGGCGCAGCACAGTACATACGTCCAAAAACTCTCGTGTGTAAAAAAAAAAAAGAAAGACACATAAAAACAGGAGAACCATTAACCACCCACTGCACGCCATGAAAAGTAACTAACGCGACGAAGATCCGCCAATCCGCGTCGGAATGCGTTAAAGCACCTTCTTGCTGCGTAATCCTTTCACTGTTTCCACCAACGAGTTCGTCGTATCATAGTTCTCGTTGTGTAACAGCCTTCCGTTGCATATAAGACAACACGCTCGCTTATTCCTCCACAAAACCACTCGCGATAGTATCGTGTTGTCGCGGACAGCATTCGCCTCCGGTTACTGCAAGCCGACCAGCTCCGTTTCTGTCTCGATCCTCTTCTTCGGTCATCCGAAACGCCACTGCCAGAGCCAACACACGATATGACAGTTCAGTGTCCCCATAGAAACCACCGTAGAGACTTGTGATTTTCATCCGTTGGTGAATTTTAAAAGAGAATGCTTCGTTTCGGGTCGCAGTGTATGAAATTTCCTTGCACATAATGATAAGAAATTATAACAAGTTAACAGTTTGACAGTAAAAAATTATTATTTCTTATACGAAGAGTATTCAACGAGATTATCTAAATAATAACAAGAAATTATTCGAGTGATTTATGCATCGTTCTTTTTTACGTGAAGATGTTACATAATGTTGGTTGTGCGATTTCCAATGGATTTTCAGAGTATTTTGACGTCAAAGATTTATTAGAATCGCAATAAAGGTTGTTCTTACGTAGACTTGGAATATTTTATTGCTTTGTCGAATAGTATCTTGGTGGATGCGTGATTTGTGACTGGATCGATGGAAGCCTGTGGATCTATTTATTATAGTGATTCAGCAGGATGATCTTGTATGATACGGTTAGAGTAAGTATAATACATTTCAGTAAGTATATAAAATTTAATTTGATCAATAAAAAGTTTCACACATTAAAGTATAAATTAAATTGAATTCCACTTGTAAATTAGAATGAATTCTACACATTCATTGTTAATGGTACATGATGATTAGTAGTAATTGACTTTCTGTATTTCGAAATATTTTGATGTCAGAGATATTAAAAGAGGAAAAAAAAAATTAGATTATTCAACTTGGGCATTTGAACGGATATTTAAATTATATGCATTAGATTTTTTAAATAATTTTTGTTTATTTATTTGCAAGAAAAGATTATGAAAAATATTTGAAAATAATTTTCATTGCGATGAATTTTACTAATATTTTTATTCATTTAATTTTATTAATACTTGGAAAACCTTCTTTTTCCTTTTATCAAACAGCGAAATACAAATAATTTAAAAAGCGAATTTACCTATTCAATAAAAAATGAGCAAATTACTTCATTTATTGATTACTTATCGATATACGTTATCAATATCGCTGCAGTAGTATTGGATTACGTTCAAAGAGTTAATCAAATATTAAACTATTCATACATTCTAAAAAAACACACTCGTCCCATCCATTACATAATACACTCAATCCATTCCTTCAAAATGTGATTCTCCGCGATAAAGCGAAGAATAAAATTTTTTACAATGAAACTCCGTGTTCTAGAAAATTAATTTGGAAACGTGCCAAGTATCAAAGTAAATTTCCATCTCATCTTATTTGCATCTCTTTTTGTAAATTTGATTATTTTGTCAACACAAAGTTTAAACGTTGAACGAAAGAAAATGTTTGATCACGGGTGATGATACTATCAATTTATTATTTAGACATTAGATGCATACAGGGTGTCCCGCATTTTAGTGTTCAAACTTTGTTACTATGTTTTACAGGTATAAAATAAGATTGAAATAATATTGAAATATTATGTGGCAAAAAGTTATAACAAAAATATCATATCCATCAATTTTAATGATGGATTAATGGACAAGGATCAATTTTCTCATCTTCCTAAATCGTCCCTAAGATTTTGCATTTTTATATTTTACCTTTCTATTTACAAAGAAATATTAATATGTTTGATAAGCAAACATTTACAATCGAGAAGCATTGATCATAAGAATCAAAATTACTCCTGAAAGAATTCAACAAATTCGATATGAAATTCATTCGACAGTAAATTCGATAACACTTTGATATCAATTTCAGATCAATAAACGGGGACTACACTTTGAAATGTACGCAACTACGCCATTACCTATACACAATTTTGCACTTCATATTTTTTGTTACGTGATATTTTGTTTTGCCTGTAGAAAGATATTATTTAATAACTTTTCTTCTTAATTTATTTTACCTTTTTTTCTACGCTACATTTTGTAAGACGCAATATACTTTAAAGCAAAATAAGTATCAAGTATCAAGATATTCATACTGTACATATAATATTGTCACTTTTCGCAAGAAAATTCATGCGAAGGTAATAGTTTACCTTTGTGAAGGTTTGCGGTTTGATACATTGTATTATTATACATATGTACATGTAGGTTACATGATGTATTGCTCTATAATATTCGAGTCAGAAGATTTGTCCATGTTTAACAGTGTCAATCAACTTGTCTCAACATTCTTATAAAGTTTCAATTAGCTGGATATTATAATTTCACCACAATCTAACGTTTAATGCGGATATTAAAATTTGTGCTAAAATACTTTTGAGGTGAGCAATCTTCTTTCTCCAAAACAGTGCTTATGCTACGTATGAAAAAATCTATTATTTATCTCAGATGATTTCAAATGTGAATTGTAACGTCAATATGACGAGGAATAGCAGAAAAATATTTTCTATAGAAAATTTGAAAGCGTAGAAATACAAAATATAGATATTTAATTCTAATCTAAATTTAAAATATCTAGATTCAATTAATAAATAAGTAAAATGGTTTTTAAATTTTCATTTCTTTGATTATATTTATAAAAATATGCATGAAATTTGTACAAACATCTGCAATAGTTCCAAATTTCTATTCCTGCAAGACATTGTTTAATCAATGTTTGAGCATCGTGTCGTCACCTATTTAATTAAAAAAAATTCATATTTGCCATAATAACTTTCACATTGAAGTTAAAATTCACACTTGAAATTATCTCAGTTGTACAACAACAGAATTTTTCAACACGTCACATATCAGTTTCATTCTGTAGTAAGAAATTTACAAAAGATAAATTACTTACTCATTATATTGGGTATTAACTATAAATTTATTATATTACAAAATTTTTCTACAATCAAATATAATCTCATATCATAAGTATATCATAATTATTTATTATAATATCATATCATAAATATAATCTCATATAATCTTATATCATAAATTAACTATAATTTTAGATTAATCTTGCGTGTACAGCCAAGTATTGTGTAAACTTATGTAAGTACAGTATAAACAATCTGACGCCAGTTAAACATGGCGGTGTACAAGCCAGACTTGTGTTTTATGTAATCGAACCTAACATATTAATGAGACGTTATTGGAAGGGCGCTCATCACAAGGACGATTTTTGAATAATTATAATCTCATTTCGCCACAAAACCATTTATATCTCTTCCCTCGATTTTTTGCGTTTTATATTTCTGACTTGTGTCGCGTTATTCCAATTATGTAATTACGACTAATCGAACGAGCCAATGATATCTATTTTTCAAACACGAGAATCGCATTAGAAGTTGAATGAATATTACATTGATTTCGTTTCTGTCTTCGTTTGTTTTTCGAAGTTAATTCCACTCGAGACGATTATGTGAAAATTTGTTAATATACATTGATAAATTAATTTTGTTTTCTCCTGTTTGTCTAGAACAAAAAGAGTATATTAAGCTTTTTAAATAATAAGTATATTAAAAAGCATGTTAGAGTCTTTATTTGTATAGGAATATTTAAAATAAATTTCCATTGCAATATTCAAAAAAATTTTCTTTCTTTCTTTCATCAGGCAATGAAAATATAAATAATTTAAGAAGTGAATTTAATTGTTTAATAAAAACGAGCTGATTAGTAAAGAGTAGTAAAGTTTGAATCGTAACAATATTTTAACGCAAATTACAATTTGAAACATAAAAATATTCAAATAAAAGTTCGACCATTCGACATTTGAAGAAGAAAAAGTAAACGAATTAATATTACGTTAGAAAAATTTGAAATTAAACCGTACACTTTTTTTTTTTAGACGACGGGCAGCGTGATGTATCCAGTGCTGCAGCCAAACATATTAAAAGATTTGTGTCTCACTTGGAGAAACATTTCGTACACGGTGGAGAAAAAGGTCAATGGTGGTAGTCTTCGAGCAATTTTCGGTCTCCAACACACTGAATTCATTCAACTGCTTAATGGAGGTATAATTCAATAAATTAAAATGATTAAGAAAATTCAATTTACAGCCTATGATCCATAAAAGAATTGGAATAACAAACTAATGAAGTAATTAATTCTTCAATATACTTCTAGTCAATGGTATCGTTAATTCTGGAATGTTGATGGCGATTATGGGACCAAGGTAACACATCTTCCAACTTTTCTTTCAACCCTGGAATACTAAACGAATTACAAATCTGTTTTGTCTATCTTAATTAAATTATCAATTATCAATCAATGTGTATTAAATTATTGAAGTAACAAAGATTAATTACACATTCGCATTCTCTGCTACTTAATAAAACATCCAATATAAAAATAATTTTTACCATTCTTTTAATTTTCTAGCGATCACTAAAATATTTCGGATCATTAGGAACAATTAACTGATTATTAAGGGTTTTATCTTTACGTACAAAATTTGCAAATTGTAATAATTTATATTTATATTTTAACATCCCTGCCCTCTTCATTCTCTATTACAGATACAGTTCGCTGACGCGTTTAATATTATAGTCCGCATATTAAGGGAAAAGATGGAAATAAAATTGGATGTTCAGAGCGTGGCTGGCGGGAATTACGAGTGCTTAGTATTCCGGGGTTAATTGTTTTCAACGCGTGGAAGGTTCGTCTCCTTCGCTAAAAAAAAATTCTCGCTTTTTCAGCGGCGCCGGGAAAACCACGTTGCTCGCGACGATCAGCCGCCGTGTGAAAGGTTCATAAGTTTCATCTTTCTTTCTTGCGTTTCACGAATTGATCCCTGCAGCAAAATCGAAATGGTAGAGAAATTGATAGATGACGGTAGAGTTAGTCACGAAATTTCTTTCGCAGATATTGAAATGAAAGGTGCATGAGAAAACATCTTTGCGATTCGAGGGAGAATGCGAGAGAAAAATACGGAATTGTTTGTTGACTGAAATTTGAAATCATTGAAGAAATTCTTAGTTGTATTTGAGTATTTGTAGTGCATCTCCGAGTCGAGATATTCTTTGTTTGGATAGATTTTTCACGAGAAAATTTTTTTAACAACCACCGTCAATACAACTCTGTAAATTTTCAAATTTTCTTACGAAATTTTGTTTTTTAACAGTACGGTTATAAAATTTCGATTTATTCAATACGTTTAGATTTACGTCTATTTATTAAATAGTTAATTATTTATAACTATTACTTAGTCTTTAATGGGTAAACAATTATATAATGAAATATAATTCTTCAATAATTATTATAATTATATTACACTTTAATAATAATTATAATACAGTTTCTAGAGGACAATTGTCGTAAGTTCTTGATATAAGAGAATTTCATTCATTCCCTCATTCCCTCTCTATTTCGAAATATTCGCCTTCATTTTGCCATTTTACCATATTTGCGATCTAAATTGGCAGAATTTTGATCAGTATGAATTTTCAATCGATAGGGAAAGCGACAGGTGACGTTCTGTTAAACGGGAAGCCTATCGATACCGGGCAGATGATAAGGATATCTGGATTCGTTCCACAAACGGACCTGGCTGTCGAATCGCTGACAATCCTCGAGCACATGGAATTCATGGTTCGTTCAATTACAATGCTTTAATTAACTCTTTTATGATTTTTGAATTTTTGTTTCTTTAATTTTAATTTTAATATACCATTGTTCGCATTTTCATGATAAATATTATATCGTACACACGATTTTAATTGAACTTTGATTTAAATAAGAAATATAATATAACTAATAATCAATATGATAATATTAATTTATATGACAATTTATATGACAATTAATATAGTTAATAATATAATATAGAGTGTAGAGTAGTATAATTGTTACACTTATAATTGAAGTAATTTAAATAAAAAATATAATATAACTAATAACCAATAATATAATAATATTAATTTATATTATAATTTATATAATAATATCAATATAGTTAGTAATATGATATAGAGTGTAGAAGTATAATTGTTATACCATAGGATTTATATAATAATAGTTTGAATGGTTCAATCTTGATTAAATAAATGAATCAATCTTCTTCAAAATCGTAGAATTAAATCGAAAGATTATAAAATCACAAAATTACACAATTACGGAATCATGAAGTTGTAGATGTAGAATCATAAAATCATAGAATTCAATGGAATAGAACTAAACTAGATTTAAAAGAAAAAAATAATACTAATACAATTTGGCAATAAATAAATATTGATGAAATAATATCACCAAATAAAAGAATATATCTATTTTTCGGCAATCTATACGCATAAAATAAAAATCAATCTTTCCATAATTTTCCAAATGTCTCGTTACCCATATAACATCGATCTTTTCTCAGCTATTAGAAATTGATTAAAGAACTGAAAATACAAAAGGAACAAAAATGGTGGATGTAGAACAGTCATAAGAAAGTTGAAAAGCTTTTATTACCGATGATAGGTATCATAAATCGTTCCTGATTAATGACTGTCGTTCAAACGCTGGCAATCGATCTCAGAAAAAAAAAAAAATACCATCGAATCGTAGATAACCAAGAACCGGTAGAAGTATGGGATTGTTCACATGGCACGAATGATTGCTCGGTAAAGGCGTCGATTAGTCGTTAGCGATTTTAAATAATTGCTTTTTGTTCGATTGTACTTGAGATCGATAAAGCGATTAATGTTCCAGAGGTAATTTATCTTGGTTGCATAACGAGATTGAATTACGTCGCTTTGATAGATCGATTCTCAAACCGAGTTAAACACAATGAAACTGAGATACTTTTATAAGAAACACCTTGTCTCTGCTTTTTCACGTTTTGACTGGAAATGTTTATCAGTGACGATTTACTATTAGTAAATACGAAATTGTGATTTTAACCGTTTAGAATTGAATTTCTTCTTTTAATGACATTTAAGTGTTATTTTTTATTTTCTATTTGACAAAATTTTTTACAAAACTATATGTTATTATAAACGTAACCGAGATGTGACGGGCGTTTAATTGGAATTTAGTTCATTAAATATCATAAAATATTACAATCGGATATTTCTTATACGTGCATTTTGCACATTTCTTCGAATTTTCATTTCTTTTTTTTATCAGTGCATAAATATCTGTAATTCAGCTATGAATTATGATCTTCGTTTGTTTATTATTTCTTTGAATTTTACGTTCATTACAATTGTTATACTTTTCACGATATTTGTAACTCATAATTTCTTTTTATTTCCATCACGATTTTCGTTGATCATGATTTTGATAATTTCTTTTTCTTCTTTCAGTTCTTCTTAGAGTTCATAATTTTCATATTTTGCACAATTTTCATGTTCATTATCCAAAAATTCAAAATATCAAATTCCATCTATCTATTGTGAAATCAATCTCAAATCTCTCTCATCAAACAGCTATACGGTCCTCCAAGGTCCGTTATATGTTTAACCGAAACCGATTATCAAATTTCATTTTGAAATGTCGTATAAATTTTCGTCGAGAGTGCTTCACGAAGTGCTCATCCGCGTCAAATAATTCGTTTAAACGTTGAACGATCGGGTTTCTGACCCATTAAAACTTGGCAATTGTTCTTGACTTGATCAAGGCGTGCATGAAAATGGACCGGAGGCTGAGGGCCAGCGTCAGGAAGCAACGTATAATGACTCTGCTTGGAGAACTCGGTCTAGCGAAAAGCACCGGGACAAAACTGTCCGCCCTTTCTGGTGGAGAAAGGAAACGCGTCACCCTGGCTGTTCAAGTAAGATTTTCGAAAATCAATACCTCTTCCAGATAGTTAGATAAAGGAGAAACGAATGAATTTTTAAAAGTTCGGGTAATAATTCATTACTCAATTTATTATCTAATTTATTATTTACTTTCGGATAATTTAAGGTAATCGATGTTTTGGATCACTGATTTAAATTCGCACCTTAATTGCAATCTTGCCGAGTTTGCCGAGTTAAAATTTAAAACACACGAGAGAATGCATATAAAAAGTAATTGAAGATATTAAATAGATATCTGAAACAAAATTCAGAATATTATAAAATGAAAGAAGCGAATGTTCACCTTATCATTTGTCGGTCTTATCTAAATTCACGGAAGAACACTCGTAAAGCCGGACAACGACATTTTCTGGCGATTCGCCCCTTTTCTCTGTCACAAATTGTATACATGACTAGTATACACATATATATATATACATATGTATCATATGCGAGAGATTCTGTTAGAAGACTCACGTGCATTGTGGACCCGCAATTTCCTTAATGCGAAATACACATAGGGTAGAGAATTTTTTTAGCTACTCACCGAACCGAGCATTCTCTTTTGCGACGAGCCAACAACGGGTTTGGACAGTTACGGGGCAATGACTGTTGTGAAGACGTTGAGGGAAGTCGCGGCCAGCGGAAGGATAGTCATATGCTCGTTGCATCAACCTGCTTCCGGTTTGTTGGAAATCTTCCACGAGGTTTTACTGCTCTCTGGCGGCAGGGTTGCTTTTCAAGGTTCCTCCATTGATGCTACGAACTTTTTCGACAGGTTTGATTATTTATTTATTCAGATATTTGCTCAAAGCGTTTCAATGTTTTAGTAAGATTTTGAAACGTAGTCAATCGTTTATTTTGTAGAATTTTATTATCAATGTACAGAGTAGCGACGAAATTTACTTTGATTCAAATAGGAAGAAATTCAAGGATAATTTAATTCAATTTAAGATTAATTTTTCAGTATTGTCATATCGTGCACAGAGTATTAAATTTAGCCTAATTCAAATTGTACGTTCTTGCAAGAATAATTCAATTCAATTTGAGAGTGATACAATATTTCGATTTAAATTTCTGAGTTTCTGATTTATTTTCTGACTTATTTGTAGAATTCAATGTCGTATTCAAAGAGTTGTTTAAATTACAGATTGCTACTTTTTCTTTAAAAAGAAAAGAGATACTTTATCATTCGATTTCTACATTATTCGTACGCTATTTCATAAAACGAGCGCACAATTTTCAGCTTGGGACTACGTTGTCCTCCAACCTTCAACAACGCCGAGTTCTTCGTTTCTCAGCTGTCCATCGTTCGTGGTAAAGAAGCTGAAAGCTACAAAAAGGTACTCTAAACGAAACTGTCAAAATTTGATGAGATAAGAAAATATACGGTATACAGAATGTCTCTGTATACCAATAATAATATAACCAAGTAGGAGATAATTCTGCGTGAGAAACGAGTCGAAAAGGAAGAATAAAATGTCTTCGTTAAAGTCTTTTTATCAAAGAGAAAATCAAGTTTGAAAATTTATCAAGTACCAATTTTTCTTAAATGAAAAAATTTTATTTCACGCGTTTCGCTTATTTTTACGCATAGAATATTCTCGTGTCCATTATTCGCGTCTGTCTATTAAGAAATTAAGTAAATTCAAGTACACTTGGTAAATTTTCAAATTCGATTTTCTCGGGAACAGAATGAAAAATTTAACTCGTTAAAAATTTAACTCATTAAATCTTTATTTAAAGATTAGCTTTAATGAAAAATTTTACTCATTCTCTTCGACTTGGTTTTTCAGATTATTCGAGTAACGAGACACCCTGCATAATCTCTCTTGCGTAATGCTCGACGTCATTTCCCTAGATACACGTTTGATTGGCATTGGTTTCCGTTTTCGATTAATTTCAAAAATTTTAATAACACAAAATTACTTTATTCTTTCAAACAATTTCACATCATTTCATCGTAACAATATCCATGTGCATATGTTGATCAATAGTATTTGAACCGACAAACATCGAAATCAATATTGAAAAATATTTCTAACGTCATTTAACATATTTTTATACGTGATAAGCGTTCTACCTCTAATAAGAAAAGAAAGTAACAAAGAAAGAAAAGCGTCTTCTATACGAATTATCCGCATGAATCAATGATCACGCGCACACAGGTGAATTGGATCTGCGATCAGTACGAGAAATCGAAATACGGTCAAAGGGTGTCGAAACTGATCGAATACTCCTGCGTTGCGGAATCGAGCGAGCTGCCGGCAATATTCTCGCAGGCCTCTTTGTCCCCGAAAGATTTCAAAAAAGCTCGCACACTGACGCAGCTCCGTTGGCTCATGTGGCGTACATACGTCGATTCCAAGAAGAACTCAGCCTCTTTGCTCTTGCGATTTATAACGTACATGGTGAGATATCAGACTCTGTCCTACACGCCAAGCTTCCCCTTTGACCACGTTTAAGCCGTCTGATCCTCTTTCGCCTTCCTTCCTACGCTTTTATGCTCTGAAGCGTTCCTGTATCGCGGCTACGGCCACTGTTCCACGTGTTTCAGACTTAGTAGTGGGTTAAGTCCCAAGTTCCCCGATAATCCGAAACCATTGGACTAATGTTGCGTCTACACGAGTGTTTTACGTACGATTTTCTCCGTCCTGTTAGATGTACAAGCCATCTTCGAGCAATTCGCGTCATCGAATTTTGGAATTGTAAATGGAGAGTTTCAAAGATCCTTTGTGACGAAATCGAAGAAATCGAAGTAGAGACAATCGATGAAATCCAAACTCTGAAGTTCTAATTACTTTTGCGATTCTCCGATCCTCGAAATTCTCCAATCAGTATATAAAGTACGAGTATCTTCGAATCCACTCTTGAATTCCCCCCCCCCCCCTCACCCCTAATTTTGGGAAATCTTGTCGAACGCGAAATTTCGCGAACGCTCGTTTGAAATTCAAATTCAACAGAAATACTATCCAAATATGCAAATCGCTCTAATCAATTCCACTTTGAAAGTAAACACGAATTTTAGAGTCCTCAAGTTCATTTCTTCCTTTCTCTTTGTGCGAATCAATTCTCCTTTCCTAATTTTGTTGAAATCCAGTCTACAAAAAATCGACATGACGACCGTTTAAAGTTTATAGGATTGCTGATATCGCTGCCGTACATGAACATCACCGGCCAGGCATTAGATCAAGGTAGCATACAGAATATGCAAGGTCTTCTATACCTGGTGGTGGTCGAAACTGTGTTCACGTTTAATTATGCTGTTTTCTATACGTTCCCACGAGAACTGCCACTTCTGTTGAGGGACATCGCCAGCGGACTTTATGGCCCGACGCCATACTACATCAGCAAGGTTATCGTTCTGGTGAGATCATCAATAAGTCGTTCATCAGTGCCTAGAATTTTCTGTCCAATTTTAATAATAAATTATATAATAATAATATAATAATATAATTATTATAATATATATTAATATAATAATATAATATATTAATATTATATTATTATAATATAATAATATAATTATATTAATATTGTATTAATATAATAATAATAATTATATTAATATTGTAATAATATAATAATATAATTATAATTACAGAATGGTAATAAGTAACCTTTTTTAAAATAATGAATTTTTGAGGATTTTATTATGAATTTATGGAAATAAACTTGATGAAATTTTTGGAATTATTGTCATATGCTAATTAGTGAAATGCAAAATTAATAATGAAGATAAAGTTTGACTACTTCGTTTAATAGAAGTACATTGTCTTTTAAAAAGTTAAATAAATATTAATCTGTTTTATATTATTATTCGACGTATTTATCAGAATAGAATAAAGTAGGTAGTACTTACCAGAATAAAGTAGGCCAGCCATGATTTAATTGTATACTGGCTTTTATGCTTCCGAGATATTACATCTCTGGTTGAATGGCGGCGAAATCCAATTTCCGATTTCAATGTACGGATATACTGGATTTCGTGGAAATTTTCAGATACCCGGGGCGATAATACAGCCATTGCTCTACTCGGCTTTCATATTCGCGATCACCGGGCTGAAGGGTGGACTTTTAGGATTCGTTTACTTCGTCCTGCCTGTAGTTGTCTGCGCCATTTCAGCTTCCGCTCTTGGTGAGGATCTTCTTACTGTTACCTCTTACAAAAAAATTAAGGAGAGATCAAACATTTTCCTAGAAAAATTCTTCTCAATCATCACATTATTTTATATTGGTGTTATTTCAATTATCTGTTGGAGAAATTCCGCTCAATCGTCACAGTAATACGAGTTTCATTGGTACTTTTTATTAGTGTTATTTTAATCATCTTTTGGAAAAATTCTTCTCGGTCATCATATTATTATCACACTGATACGAGTTTTATCAATAGTATATAAGCGTTGTAAAAAGTTTATAAAAGTAAGTATTTCGAGTGTAAATACGAAAAATGAAAACAAGGGTCTCCTAATTTGTCGAACAGGTTTGTTTTTGTCAGCGTCGTTTCAATCGGTAGACACTGCCTCTCTGTTCTCCGTGCCATTGGACTTCCTTGGCCTGATGTTCTGCGGAATTTACTTGCATCTCGAGTAAGATTACAAATTTCAATTAAATTTAACAGTATAATTTAATAAAACAAATTTAGCTTGTATATTTGGAATGCGTATTATTTTAAATTACGTTGTCTCCTTGAGTAACAAAATAATGTTCAATTACGAATTTTCTTCGCTTCTTCTGCAAAACATAATTTTCACGCTGCAAATGTGATATCCCAACCGTGAGATAACTAAATTTTCCATTTGGCAATAAGTAATTAAACTTCTTTCCATTCTCTCTGGTTTTCATTTTCTTAAATTTTCGTAATTTTCTTTTTTCTTCTTACCTATTTCACTAATTTTTAAAATATTTAAAAAAATACATTTCGAAGAACATAGACAAGCGGCAAATAGATAAATAAAATAGATGAAATATAAATGAATAGATGAATTTTAATGAAAACGAGTGTGCATGGATACGATAGATTCCTTTATAAATTTTTACAGTCACCTGGCGCCAGGTATCGCGTGGCTCAAATATCTGTCACAGTTTTATTACGGCCTCGAGGCAGTTTCCCTGATGCAATGGCTTCTGATAGATCATATAAGTACGTAACTGTTCACCGAGCTTGTATTTTATCCGAGTATGAAAATTTTACAGTTAAAATTTAAATTGATTACATGAAGCTTAATATGACAGTACGCAGTTGAAAGCTCTACACTATAATTAAAAATTTAATTATTAAAAACCTATTTCTACGAAATGAATTTCTAGCTTTATTAAATTTTAATGTTAATTAGTCTGATCTTCTGTAAATCTTTCTCGTTTTAAATCGGGATATAATGTCTTCTTTAAATCTTTTGGAAGAAATCATAATTAATTTATTTATTTAATTATTCAGTCTTCTATTTTTATAATCTTTTTCATTTTCAAGACACGTAATGTATCCTTCAAATCTTCTTGAAAAGAACGTAATATTTACATAACATTTCTGCAATTGGATTAAAGCCGCGGATGGACAGCAAAAATTCCAAAATAAAATCGTAAATTTAACGTTTGGAAAACGTTTTTTACATGTGAATTTTTAATGTCAAAGATTGTTCCCCGGATCCGGAAGAGCCTTGCATCTCCAGTGGACTAGGGGTGCTGGAGAAATATGGCTACTTACCAAATCACTACGTTACGGATATAGTTGGTCTTCTGGTCATTTTCGTTGTTAGCCATTTGGCCGGTTTCCTAGTGATCAAGCACAGAAGTCGCAAAGAACCAATCTATTAAATTGATCCCTTTGTCAAGTCACGCTCGTGATAAAAATTTTAATCTCGGATTTAAGAAAAAAGTAAATCGCAGTCCTATAGAATTTCAATTCAAATTTGAGATTTCAGTTCCTTCAATTGAAGATTAATAAGTACAAATTATAATTATTATGACGTTCCAATACTTTGTCCATTTAACGTGACGTTTACAATCACAATGACTAGACTGTGGATTTCTATGCAAAAATGGGAACATAATATAAACGATTTTTAAATGTACATATACTAAATATAGTCATCGAATTTTAAATATGATTATCAATTACTTATCGTGCAATAATTATAATAGTTAAATTAAATGTAATTTAGAGGTTCATAGATTTGAGAATGTAATTATAAATATATGAAATATTATATATAGAAAGTAATATGTTTTAGATATGTTCTACATAATTATTTTCGTACAGTATAATTTTATTTCCACGTAATTTGCTTTCTATACAATTTTAGTTTTAAAATTTCTTATAAATGCACACGAATCTACAGTCTAACAACAACTAACGCTTACTCAAGAATATCGAAACAAAAATAACCCAACTCCAGCTTCGCTCAGTTTTTCACATACGTGTGTTTTTAAATTCGTTTTTCTTTCTGAAAGAAAAAAGTTTGGGTACCTCGAAGAATGCACAAACGTTTTATTATTGCCGTCGTTTTTTATATTTATAATTAACCAGGGGGTGAATAAATAAATATCGGCATAATCGGTCTTGATCTCACTAAATTAACAAATTCGTGAATGATTGATATCAACGCTATTATTAACAAATATTTATATAGTGTAAGATAATTGTAAGACACGTAAGTTATATAAGTTAAACAGATTGCTATGTATCATACGTTTGTTATAAATTATTTTACGTAAACGAACGTGGTGGGATTGTTATTTACAACAACGTTCTAATTTTCCTTCTCCTTTGTAGACCAAAGTATCCAAGAACATTCATCGCGATTGTTAAGAGTATAAGACCGCTGAAATCCCAGATGAGATTCGCCTTCTTGAATCCATATTCCGAGAGCACTTGTTCCCCGTTTCGTAGACAGGGGAAATCACTAGACGCTTGACAGTCTAAAAGAAAGTTAGTCGAATTAAATTAATATCTAATTTATCGTATCTGAACTCTCGTTAAGAAAATTAGTTACGTTAAGTATATTTCAGAGCGGAGTTTCGATCGATTATGAGAGTCATTAGTCTTTAGAATGAATCATTAAATCTTCAATGTCTCGAAAAAATAATTCTATAATAATTCTATAATATATAATATATATATATATATAATAATTATAAATAACTGTATATAATAATATATTTATAATAACTATAATTATAAATAATTGATTAATAAGTTCATACGGAGAGTAACTTTAAATTTTTGCAAATTAGACTATAGTCACTACTTGAGGGTAAAATTTATCTCAGATTTTAGAATTTCGATCGACTACTTGAAAGACATGATTTCTCAAAATGAATTACTTAAACCTTCTCGAAAGAGAGCAAAATTACGTGTGAATTTTAATTTACAACACCAACTACAAACAAAACTTTTTTTTATCAATTTTAATCAATATTCATGATTAAATACCTTTAATTACCTTTTTTGTAAACTCAGAATCTAATCACGAACAGAGTCGAAATTGAAGTTAATATTACGATTAAATGCCTTTAATTTTAACGGAATTAAAATTTATATTGAATCGAAATTCCAAAATTGAACAATAAATTAAATTAAATTCAATGCGAGAGTAAAGTTAATATTATAATCAAATACCTTGAATTTTGATAAACTTAAAATCTAAATCGAATCATTTCAAAAAGAAAATTCAAAATTAGAATAAAATTAATGTTCCACTGTATCATTAAGTAGATCATATTCTCTTGCTTTAGATATACATCTTTCCAATTTTCCCCGGAAACATCCCTCCATATTTATGAACAATCCTTTGAAGAATATCAAAGAAGTCGCAAAGAATTGGGGTGATTTATTCAAAAATGCAGTTCGCTCACCGATGTCATCTACTCGTGACCAATAAACTATGGAAAGTGCTTCGTTCAGGTAAAAGAATATTGAGAAATATTTAAAACACGTCAGACATGTGGGCAGCGACCTGAAAACATCAGCGACTTGTTACTTTTATAGTCTGCCGAACCGTAAGAAAGTTCCAGCTCGTTCTCAAGCTGTTACTACGATTTTTACGGTCTACTTAATTTTTGAACATCGCGCGCAAATAGTTCGAAAATTTTTTTTTTTATTTTAAAACTTTATTTTTATCTAACTTTGAGCATCACTATAACTTCTCAGAATTATAATCTCGCTCGGTTTTTTTATTTTATTTAATCCTTGTGTTTATATATTTTCTTTGCAGATTAATGCAATATTGATTTTATTATATTTATAATAATATTATTATTATTTATAAGTTAATTTGTATTATTATTATATTATTTATTATAACATTATAAATGTAATATCGATAAAGTTTGAGTGATTTTTTTTTCATTTTACGCAAGCAATGAGCATTTCTGACATAAATTTTAAATATTTTTGGATTTTCTGTGGTTTTATATTTATTCCCTTTGTGCCTTTATTACTTTGCATCTTTTATTTCATTTGCATTTCTGGGTGTTTCTGGGTGTTTCATTTTTATATTTCATATTGTATTTCTCATTCGATTCAGCCATTTGCTATAACAATATTGATAAAACTTGAATGAAATTATTCTTCGTTGTCCAAAAGTTTCAATTTTTGGACAATACAAATGTTGATTTTTATTTTCATCGTCCAGGACGATACGGAATCCTACATTACTGAATTAAATTTTATGCAATTGCAGGCCAAGATTCAGTATTCTGCCATACTAAATTTTAGCAGCGTAGATGCGTTTATTATTATTAATTTCCAAATCTCGCGAGAATTTTAACAGTATGATATTATATTAAACTATATTTACTTGAAGTATACAATACCTGAGGTTGTAAAACATGCCAGCAGTTAATAAAAAGAGCATGTCTATAGGTACCATGATCAGTGAAATGAAATCAATGTCCTCGATCCAGATGGAGAACATTAAACCATACGCTATAGCGCAAATCGCACTCGTCGATGTGATTGAACAGTAAAATAGAAAATTGAATAAATCGATTCGAGTGACTACCACGAGATATATCACTGTTGTGAACATTACTGCCTGTAGAATGGCTTTCGGTATCTGAAAAATATATTTTTCTCAGTTAGTGATTCGATTTAATTTTAATAACGCGTGTGGAAATGATTTTGTTTTCAATTTTTCGGAATAAAGTCAGATTACATATTTATTATTATTTATTTGAATTTATTTTAAGGTGGTTACTACTAATTATAGAATCGTCAGTGACTACTAAAAGCATAATTAACAACAAATATTTATTACTTACATCTTTCATTATTTTTTTTTCAATTTAAAATCCAACTAGCATGATTTACAATAAATATTCTCGACTTATTTCTTCAAGCAATCATTTTTCTGCTCGTTACAAAGCAAATGCACTATTGGTGTAAATGTTTTAATATTTAGAAAAGAATCGTTCTTAAATGCTCTACATGGGAGAAGAAGTAAAAAATGTGGAATAAAATTGTTTTAACGTTTCGAATATTAATAATATTCAAAGCAATGGTATAATCAAATTTTGTTAGTACAGTGTATGATATAAATAAATAAGAAAAGAGATGAATCGTTCGAAATTTTATTAATCTCTTAAAGTGGATTGTTAACTTCAAGAGTTGCAACCTCATGCAATCTATTAATTTTAAATTAATAATCGTAATTATGCGTTTATGTTATTACTTGAAAATTTATACGATTCTCTGTTTAATATTTCCTAACGACGCGGAGAAAATTCTAGTTTCATTTACGTATCAAACTACAATTAAAAGCACTTAAAATTAAAAAGGCACGAGATTGTAGTGTTCAGCGAATTCAAAAGATGTGATAATTGCTCTTATAATTAGTTTAATCTATTATAACACCTTTCTTATATTTGTGGTCAGATATTTATACATCTAGAATATATCAGATTTTGACATTTAATCAGTTACATGAAATGGATTAGTAGCATTTGTAATTATAGCGACCGCAAATACATTTTTGTCTGCTGTATGTATATATATATTGATATTTTTTTTCTAGAACTTGTTGCAATCTACATTCGCATGTAATTATAGCGACCGCAAATACATTTTTGTCTGCTGTATATATATATGTTGCAATCTACATTCGCGTTCATTATGAAAGTAAAATAAGTGAGTTTACTCATTCTGCTTATTAACAAATTTCTTCGAATCGCAAAAATTGTATTTACAGTGTAAGAATGCTACAATTTAATTAAACTTTTCAATATTTAGTCTGAGAGTACCATTCGTAGAAGATACTTTCATTAGAGATTCAAAGAGGACGTATTACGAATTGCACTGAATAAATATATCATAAAGTATATATCCAGAAATGAATGTATTCTTGTCATTATTATTATATTACTATACTATTGCATTAAATGTCCTGTGTCTTAATTAACTTTGAACATTTATGTCCGTATTAAATCATCAAACAGATAATCTGAGATGCTTAAAATAATTAATTTATTCTTTGGAGGTTATTATGAGCAGTATTGAATAAATATATTGAGAAGTATCTATTTAAAAATAAATACATTCTTAATTTATTGCATGCTCTTCATTCGATATTAAACTTCTAGATTTTTTTAGTAATTTTAGAGAACATTCAAGGAGTTCGTTATGCCATTACAAAATTTTCAACTCTTCGTTGAATATTTATTATATTTATTATAAAGCTGATTCTATCGAGTCGTGGAAACGTATACTCCAGAACAAAGAAAAGATAGCACACTCTATATTTTCTCATATTATGTATTGTAAGTAGAGAGATTATCATATCATCAATATCCTTGGTCATGGATTAGCCATGTGTATTATGTCGAATGTTATTACCGAGATGCGGAATTTCTCAGAAATGCAAGAAACGAAAATGTAAATACTGCCGGTGGCCTCGGAGCAGACATGATCGAACATTTCCGAATATTTATTATTTTTAGTCATATGGGAGCTATCAAAAACGTAACATTCGCGTGAAATACGGTCGGTTAAGTGCGTATTAACGTAATAAGAGAGAAGAATAAATTTGTAAACATTGGTCGCGAGAGAGAGTTAAATTCAGCTGAAATACACGCGATATCGAAATTAAACGAAGAACATTATTCTGTTGTACAAAAAATAGCCAAGACAGTCAACAGGAAGTCGTAAAGTGCATCTATTACAAGATCCCGATAATTGTGGAAAAAGAAAAGATTGTGGACGACCGCGGTGTCTAACAGCTCGGGATGATAGTACTATGATACGTACAGCGTCAAATTCAAGTTCGACTGTGCTGTACGAAAGGAGCACCAACTTCCGAGTCGTCGATCCATGGGACGCGGCAGTATAATGATTGGAAGAGGTATTGGTTACCAAGGTAAGATTTTAAGGTAACAAAATTTATTACGGGAAATTTAAACAGTAAAAGGTATATTGAAATGATTGACGAACAAATGAACACGCGTATGCGAGTTCACAGGAAAAAAGTACATTTTTTCAATGTGATAACGCGGCGAAAGCAATAAAACAATATTTTGCAAACAGAAAAATTCGCGTTTTAAAGTAACCAGCCAAGTTTTTTAAATATTGTCGGTTATAATCTGTTGTTGTTATATTTTTAGTTATGTTCGGTCTTACCGAACACAATGAGGGTCAAAATGTGATGCGACAAATAAATTCATCGAGCCAGGGACAATAAACTCCTGTCTTGTCTAAACTTTTCTACGGCAGGGACCTCCCGCGACCGTATTTCATATTTCAAACTGACATTTCCGTATTGTAGTCATATTTGACTC